TATTAAGTCCCCTATCAAGGCCATATAATTACTTAAAGTATTTTTTGACTGAGATGGTAAATATACCCATTCTAAAAGCCTTTGTTTCTGATGTATCACTGCTGTTGGAGAATTTGGGGTGTTAAATATAGAAGCCTCCACACTTTCATGCCTATCAATCCTGTTTGTGTGTGCTCCAACTACTTGTTCCTGAATATACAACAATGTGTGTTTGCCTCAGGGGTCAGTATTCGGGTGAATCTAATTGAGGATCACCTCTAAGGCAATCATATAAAGGTATCAATTCATAATTTGGAATGCCTATCTGTGACCGAAGCCACTGTATATCTCCTATAAGTTTCTGAAAATCATTAAGTGTTTTCAACTTTTGTAGGTCTATTTTTGGAGGATGTAGAACTATTTTTTCTTGAAGTATCTGGTGACCTAAATATTGATATGGAGGATGTTTTTGAATTTTTTCTGGGGCTATTTGAAGCCCATGACTTTGCAACAAATTTTGTATTTTTAACAAGATTTCTTCCAACACTTCAGGATTGGGATGAGCACATAAAATGTCATCCATGTAATGTATCATTTTTAGCTTTTTGTAATGGAATAGTAAAAAAGCAATCTTTTAAATCAATAACTATCAAAGGCTAGGAAGTCATAAAGCATCGTTAATTTTCCTGACTTCTTTGCAATAATAAAAACAGGTGAATTTTAAGGAACCCAAACAAGTTCATGGATTTCATTTTGTATTTTGTCAGTTTTTGGATAGAAAAAGCACAAACAGTGGGCGGAGAAAATAACAGCTCTCAGTAAATGTAAAATATCGTGCCCACAAATTAAGGGGAAATGAATTGAGTTTTAGCTATCTGTTATCCTAGTAGTTTAACTTCATCTTAAAATAATTGATTAGTGGTGATTTATTAGGCAAGCTAAAAGTAATTAATATCTGTAAAAGTCATGTGAAACTTATTAAAAATTATCAAGGAATCTTGATTAATTTGTAACATTTTGGTGGTATACCTGCAGACTGCAGAACAATACACCCAAAGTAAGCAAAGGGTGACACCCTCTGTACCCTTTCAGGGTAATTATAAATCTATGAGACTGAAAGGCTTGTTGACTGAAAAGCTTGTTAAAACTTGGGCATTAATAAGGAAAGTTTGGTAGTAGTAGGACAACTGCAAAGTTTATCATACAATAAATTATTTTTGTCTGGGAATATTTCTGACTAACAAGTTTAATAGTGATGAACAAAATTTTGGCACATGGTAAGAAACATTCCTCCTTAAAGGATCATAATAGGGAAAATGGGAAATACTGATTTAATGAGACAACCATACCCAAATTCAAGCTCAAAACAAAGTTAATTATAGTTCTAAGAGTCTTTTACCTCAAGCAGTAAGTTTCACTGATTATGGCTTAAAGCCAGATACAGTTAATTATTTTCATAGAAGTGCAATAATCAATAAAGATTTACTAGGACTCACATATATAAGAAATTTTACTTAACATCCTTTCTTTCCCACATTTAAACTTGTCTTGGTGAAAAAGCCAATTATTAGAAATCATTTATATAAAGTTGCAATTTCTCAGTAAGCTAAATGAATTGTTTAGGAACTCAATAACATAATTCTTCTCTCAGAGCAGACGACCTTGACACAGTTGGTAGGAGCTTTTGGCAAGCTTACAAAGTTAAGGGAATTGCCTTGTGTCCCTCCTTTTCACTCAGAAGTAATTAAGAATTCTAGGTCTTAGCTTTAAAACAGTAACTTCAAATAACTTAGTTAACAATTTTGGTAATTTTCATGAGTGATAGTTAAATTATTTTAGCTCTAAGCTGTTTTTTTAGTCATAGGTAAAAATAGAAATGCCTGACTTTCTAAATGATAGTTATAAACATCATAGAACAAGATTAACCGGACTTGATAAAATAATTTAGCTGGATTTACACAGTTATCTCACTACCTTTCAGTTTCTTTTAGTTCATGTTTTAATAACATTAAATTATTAAAAATTGCTTGACATAAACATAAAAGTGTAACCAAATTTGTAATGAAAGACTAAGATTTTTAAAAACTTGAAACATGCATAATTACTAATGTAAATGAACTAAATTAATCTTTAGATTTGTTCCAATACTTAAAAACTTTTTCTTTTTGATTTGAAGAGGAAAACTCCTCCTTCTCCTTCTTTTCTTCCCCACCCCAACCTGGCCAGGGTTGGAATTCGAGAGAAAGGAAGAGAATATTTTTCAACATAATCTTTCGATCTTACACACAAAGCTTTGGCCAGAGCTTTAGAATGCAAAAAAGAAAGAGAATATTTTCTCCAAAAGTTTCCAAATCTTTTACTCTCAAATCATCTATTCCTGCTATTCATGCAAACAGATTATATTATTCTTTCTATCCATACTTTTCTTATCCTGTATGCTTAAACTTTCTTGCCTTTTATCAAATTATATAACCTAAATAATGAAGTACTTTTTCTCCCATTCTCTCCCCCATCCACCCGCTCCCAGGGAAGGCAGCTGGTATTAGGGAGGGCGAAGGGAAGAAAGTCACTAACAGCATTTCAGGACAGACCATCATTCACACAGACACAGACAAACATAGAACAAAATGACAGGGAAAATCCAAAAGTGAGAAACTTGTCAGAAATTCCCTACACAAATGAAATAATACTATTTTTATTTTATTTTTTTTTAATCTTTTCTTTTCATGGTATTCTAAAACCAGGCAAAATCTTTCTTAAGGTTTTGGTTTTTATAAAAGGAAACTTTTTCACTTTGTAATGCTCCACAACGTCCACAATACAGTGCTGTGACTACACATTTCTTCTCTACTTCCCCTTGGGGATTTCTGAAATTCCTCACAGTGGGATTTTTGAAATTCCTCATGGCACATGGCGGGAGCTTCCTTTGTTCTCACAGCTCCTACAAGCCCATTTTTATAAGATTATAGATAGTGAAAGTACCCAGAGGAACTGATTTTGGACCTTTGGTGTTATAAAATTCTGTCCATTGTTCTCCCACTATTTTCCATAGTTCTAAATCTAAACTCCCTTCTCTTGGGTGCCATGGAGATTTTATATCAATAATATCGAGAAACTCTCTTATTTTCTTAGGAGTTACCGAGCACCGCTGTTCCTCAATCACTTTATATATTACTGTAACATGCTGTTCCTTATCTGAGAGTTTACCTAGATTTTGCCTCATGATAAGACTTTATCTTACCTCTCCCTAGTTTTGTGCCATAGGATACGATTCGGAGACCTCTCACAAGGAGGCTGCCTGGCTCCAACAGACCTCGGTGTCTTGATGTGGGTGTCGGGTCTTCTTGGTCCAGACGTTTCCCGACTGTTTCATGCGGCTGTCTTACTCTCCGTATCTTCTTCACGTCAGCAGTGCAGCCCCACGTTGGGCGCCAGTTTGTTGTGCACAACTAGGTTACTTGGCTATAGAGCCTACCTAGGGCCTAGGATTTCCCAATCACCTGATGAATCAAGACCAGCTTGATTTTCTATCTCGAATGCGCATGATGAGGCGGGAGGGGAAGCAACTCCGTTTATTTTTAGCAAAGAACTTACTTATATAGTAAAATAACAGGAACTTTTTCTCAAGTTACAATGACGTATAGCCCATGCTGTGCTCCAGGACAGTGCATGCACGTCCTGTGCACTTATCTGACTCCAAACTCAGAACAGACTGCTAATGACCATACAATAACTAGGGGAGTTAAAGATTGTTACAGATCCATACAATGGAGCACCAAACCAGGCGACCTTTGCTCAAAGATCAGCACCCGAGAGGGGCCTCCGCCCATCAGTGAGACCTCTTGAACAGCCTGTGGCCCTCTACATCCTTATAGATCCCTAACAAGACCTCAGATTGGCAAAGTTGATAGGAAAGGAGAAAGAAAAATATTGGCAAGACTGTAGGAAAACAGGCATTGTTGGTAAAACTGCAAATTCGTCCAAACATTCTGCAAAGCAATTTGGAGTTATGTCTAAAAATTTAGTTATTAAACTATGTATGTCCTTTGAAAAAAATGATGCTTCTCTAAGCAAATACTTTAAGGAGATCAAAGAAAGGAAAATGATCCATAAATTAAAAAAAATCTCTAGCAGCTCCTTTTGTAAAGACAAAGAATAGGATGCTGACAGTACCAATGAACTGGGAAATGGCTGAGCAGATTATTCCATATAAACGTAGTGGAACATAATTATTCTATAAGAAATGATGAAAGGGATGGTTTCAGAGAAATGTGAAAATATTTATGAACTCATGAAAAGGGAAGTGAGCAGAACCAGGTGAACAATTTGTACATCAACAATGGTATTGTAAAGACAACTGTGAAAGATTTAAAAACTGATGAATTATAATAACCAACCAAAATTCCTTAAGACTGATGATGAAGAATGCTACCCACCTCTTAATGGAAAGATGATGGACTCCAAACTCAGGATGAGATACACATTTTTATGTGACTACTGTGGGAATTTATTTTTCCCCTTAATAGTAAAAAAGGTGGTGATATTTAATAAATGCTTGGTAAATAAACAAAAAATTTTAAAAGAGTAACTTGCATGTTTTCCTTAGGGCCTCATTGTGCAGAATGATTTGTAAGGCTGAATTTGATTAAAATTATTTACATAGCCTAGTATAAAGTGGGGAACATGATAAGAAAATTCTCAAGAAATACTTGAGGGGGCAGCTAAGTGGCACTGTGGATAGAGCACCAGCCCTGGAGTCAGGAGGACCTGACTTCAAATGCCACACCAGACACTTAGTGGCTAGCTGTGTGACCCTGGGCAAGTCACTTAACCCTCATTGCCTCAAAAAAAAATACTTGAAATGGAATATTCCAATTCCTTGATTCTGTGAGAACTCCTCACTTTGGTTCAATCAAACCAATTTCAACCAAACCAATTGGTTCAAATTGATTTCATGTCTTCCTCATGTTTCATATGAAGAATGGTCCATGAATGCATGGGAATGTTTTTGACTATTTCAGAAATTGTTAACACTGCAAGATGTGGTTGTAGACTTCACCCAAGAGGAATGGAGCCTGTTGGATCCTGCTGAGAAGGACCTTTTCTGGGATGTGATGCTTGAAAACTATGAGAACTTTGTCTCCCTTGGTAAGGATAGCTTTTCTCTCATCAATTGTCTGACCAATAGAAGGATGTTACATTCTCACTTCATAAAGGTCATGGAATGTCTCAAATGATTTGCTGAGTTCTGACTTGGTATTTAGAGCTTTCTCAAGAATACATGTAATATAGAAAGCCCCCTGTATCCTTTGGTAAAGAAGTAAGATGTTCCTGCTCTGTCTCCAGAGGAAAGGCCTTGACTTTTTACAACTGGAAATCAGCAGCTTTATTATGCTGCTTCTGAAGCTATACTTTGCCTACTTTGTGCTCAGAAAAGACAAAAACTTCTCCACTCAAGTCCCTATTCCAGTAGCTCTTTGGAGACATGGAAGATTTATATATGTGGTCTTTGCAGGGAATGTGCAGAAATAAACTAATTGTGTTTGAACATAAGTCAGACCTGTCAGTTATCTTCCGTATTTGATGTGATTGAACCATAATATATGGCATCCTTATGAGGTTCTTTTTAGAGTGCTCTCTATTTTCCTAAAGAGAAAGAGATTACAATTGAATTCTTAAATATCCCTCTGTTCTCAGCATCTTTCCAAATGTTTCCTCGTGAGCAAGGACTTCCAGATTCCAAACCACTTCTAATTTCTCAGTTGGAGAGAAGAGAAGCCCCATGGCTACCAATGGAAGAAGTCCTAAAAAACGTTTATGTGGGTGAGTGAATTAAAACCAGGTAGATGGTTATAGAAGATTGCAGGCTGCACCACAGCTACTCAGTAAGGATGCATTCCCTTTAGAATGTGAGAGTGGACCTGATTCTAAAAGACCCCCAAGGCTCTGGAGAAGGATTGTGGTTGTTCCTCTTTAAGTACTTCCTCATCTTATATTCACATGATCTTTTTGTCCTCTTATTTCCCTACAGCCTCAGAAAAAGAGGTATTCTTTTTTTTTCAGTGCTAAATCTTCCATATATACTTGCGTTCCTGTCTGTTTTTGCTCTTTCACATAATTTTTTCTTGCATGGTTAGAGTCTATCCTTCAAAGTTTCCTTTTACTCACAAACAGATGTTTGTTAAAAGAACAAAGCCTTTATTTTTCCTGTTGTCTTTCTTTCTATATCCCAATTCATTTTCTTTCACTGCCATTCATCTCTTCACATCATATACAGGATCTTTTTACCCTTTCTCTGTAATCTGTCCCCTTTTCTTCTTCAAATGCTATATAATTGACTTCTTTTCCTATTGCTCCATGGAAAATAGTTAAGATTCTCCACATCCTGCCATGATAAGATCTATGGCTTATTCACAGACAGTATTTTATGTTTTATAAAGAGATTTTCCAAACAGGGAGGTAGTTAGTAAAGATATTAGTATCTCCACTTTATAGAAGAGACTAATTGAGAATCCATGATATTTTGTCTTGCCAATGGTCACTTGATTATTGGAATGGCCACCATATTCTAGGCTTTCATATTTCAAACCCATCATTTTTTCTCTTTAAATTATCCCCGCGATACCTCATGATCTATCCATCCTGTTAAAATTGTCCCTAATCTTCAAGAAAAACCACTGAGGCAGAGCTCCGAGCCAATGGCACTTTATTAAAGGGCCCATGGCTACCTCTAATGAAGTGGACTCAGATCTTCCTCATAATTTAAGATGTCCCCTTCCTCCAGAGCTTTAATTTTATAGTGCTTGATACCTAGACAACACGGGTGGAACAGACCAAAAATGCAGTCTTATTGGTGGATAGACTGTTCCCTTGACCCTCTAGGAGGGTTTACACAAAATACAGAATCCCATTGGTTGTCAAATGGGCTAGTGAGCAGACATTAACAGACCTCTCTTGACCTTTCAGGAGGTCCTACCAAGCCCATGAGCACACCCTGGACTGGGCTGATAAACAGCTATCGGAGCATCTACATAGGCTGATGGCTGGTATTCAGGCAGTCCACAGGCCAGCAACCAGCATCACTTATTAGCTAAGTGCTCATGGCCATCTCCCCATGTTGGGCAATAGAAGGATGACAAGGGATAGAGGGGCAACAAGAATAGCTGGGGGACTTTCCATGTAATTGAGTTACCTCCGCCACACTAGACTTGGTCACCATAACAAGGGAAAAACAAGGGTGTCCATTCTCTAGTTAGCTTCCTGTGATTAAGTAAGGCACTAGGTACTAGTTTTATGCCTATTTTACAGATGACTCAAAACTCTTTTTCAGTACTGTTTTTCCAGTGACTGCAAACTCACTGTAATATTATGCAATCCAATGTATATTTCTTTAGAAAGAGAGATTGTAAGATTTTGTCGAATAGATTGCTGTTGTAGTCCCGTTTGCTATATCCATTATGCACCTCTTCATACATCTTAAAGGAAATGAGCATCATTTTGTATTATCTGTACTTGTTAGATTGATGTTGTTTTTTAGGGATTAATGCTTTTCTAAAAGTAAGTAATTTTTTCTCCAGAGATTCTCTTTACTTTAAGAAATCTATTTGTTAGAAATAACCTCTTTCCAAATTTTTATAAGCCATTCATGAAGTCCTCACGAATTAGGTGTTCTGTTACTATCTTTTTACATACCTGGGCTTCATTTCCTTTCTATGAGTGTTCTTCTACCTGTACCAGATTAATGTTCTTTCTTCTTCATGAATGTGATAGAATCTAGAACTTAGTATTATTTTATCATTGAACATTGAATAATAGCACCTTTTACCTTCTCCTCCCGCCCCCCCAGATTTTCTTCCTGAACATAATACATTTGGACTGAAATGCAGTCTGGGATCAATCCTGACTACAGAACAGAAAATTCCTGAAAAAAAATGTGTCCATGAATATGACAACATTGGGAAGAGCTTCAATCTGTTTTCAGACCTAAGTGAACATAATAGAATCTGCTTAGGAGAGAAACTATCTCAGCATAAGAAATTCAAGAAGCCCTTCATTCATCATTCAAAACATATGTATTCCCATAGGACATATCCTCAAGCAAAAACTCTCTAAACATGATGAAGTTGGCAAAGACTTCGAGAGCATCAAATCACAGGTTCCTGAACCTCAAAGTATTTATAGTGGTGAGGAGAAAATTTTTGAACGTAATGAACATGGAAAAACTGACCACAGTAAACAATACTTAACTGCATATCAAACAACTCATACAGGAGAGAAGCCCCATAAATGCAAAGAATGTGAAAAAGTCTTTAGTTCCTGGATAAACCTTTTTCTACATAAGAAAATTCACAGTGGAGAGAAATCCTACTTATGTAATGAATATGACAAAGTCTTTAAGCATAAACGACACCTTAAAATCCATAAGATGATTCGTACTAGGCAGAAGCCTAATGAATGTAATATGTGTTTGAAAGCCTTCGGTAATAAATACTTAGACCAACATAAAAAAATCTATACTAGCAATATACGCTGTAAACATAATCATTGTGGGAAAGCACTCTGCCAGGAATCACACTTTATTAAACATAAGTTAATTCATACTAAAGAAAGACCATTTGGGTGTAATGAATGTGGGAAAGCTTTCAGAAGTAAATATTACCTAATTCAACATAAAAAAAAATCATTCTGGAGTGAAACCTTTCAAATGTAATGAATATGGGAAGGCCTTCAGCAGTAAGAACTATCTAATCCAGCATAAAAAAATTCATATTGGAGGGAAACCCTTCATATGCAATCAATGTGGGAAAGGCTTTATGAGTAATAGCTACCTAATTCAGCATCAAAGAATCCATGCTGAAGGCAAACCTTTTAAATGTAATGAATGTGGGAAAGCTTTCAACAATAAACAATACCTAAGCAAACATCAGAAAATTCATACTGGAGTGAAACCTTTCAAATGTAATGAATGTGGGAAGTCTTTCAGCAGTAATAGCTACCTAATTCGACATAAAAAAAAATCATACCAGAGTAAAGCCCCTCCAATGTAAAGAATGTGGGCGAGGCTTTATGAGTAATAGCTATCTGATTCAGCATCAGAGAATTCATACTGGAGAGAAACCCTATAAATGTAAGGAATGTGGTAAAGCTTTCAGGCAAAGTTCATCACTTGTGCAACATCAGAAAATTCATACTGGAGAGAAACCCTATAATTGTAACAAATGTGGGAAAGCTTTTAGTCGAAGTTCATCCCTTATGCAACATCAGGTAATTCATACTGGAGAGAAACCCTACAAATGTAAGGAGTGTGGGAAAGCATTCAATAATAACAAATATTTATCAAGACATCAAAGAACTCATACTGGAGAAAAACCCTATAAATGTAATAAATGTGGGAAAGCCTTCAGCAGTAATCAAAGGCTCTCAGGACATCAACAACTCCATAATGGAGAAAAACTCTAAATGTAATGAATGAGGGAAAGCCTTTTGCACCAGGTCTAGATTTGAAGCATAAAGCAATTCATTCTGGAGAAAGACTTGTCTAAATATAATGAATGCAGGAGAGGCCTTAGGTTTAATCAAATTTTATCTGAACAAGATTGCCCTACACACCATACAAATGCTTACCCAGCCTTTGTTCTTTAATGAGGAGGAGCCCACTGGGTTCCTGAGGAAGTCTGCCCCACTTTTGGGTAGTGCTTGTTATTAGGAAGTTTTTCCTTATATCAAGCCTAAATTTGCCTTTTTGCAATTTCCCTCCCAAGAGGCCCAAGAGAACAAGCCAAATCCTTCTTGCCTGTGAGAAACCACCATATGCTTGAAGTCAGCCATGATAGCCTGTTTTCAGTTCTTCAGATAAAATACCCTCAGTTTATCCTCCTATAACATGAACTAACACACCATTCACCAGTTAAGTTGCTTTTCTCCAGACTCCTTAAACTTCTCTTTCCTAAAATGTGGTATGCAAATCTGATGACGAAATTCTAAATCTATTCTGGCTGAGATGCACATTCACAAGACTGTCACTCCTGGTCTTATTCCTCTCCTAACGTAGCCCAAGACTGCATTTGCCATTTTGGCTGCCCTTTCACTCTTTGGCTCCTTAATGAGCCTGTTATCCACCAGAATTCCGGATCTTTTTCTTATGACCTACTTCTAGCCATCCCTCTACTTTCATGTGTGCAGTTGATATTTTGAGTTCAACTGTAAGATTTTCCATTTTTTTTATTTCATCATATTCAGTTTGGCCCTATTTGGTCAGGAGTCAAGATCTTTTGGAATCTTGGCTGTTATTAGCTGCCCCTGCCACATTTGTATCAGCTGCACATCAGATAACCATGGCACATACACCCTTAGCTAAGCCATTAATTGAAATATTAAACAGATCAGGGCCTAGCACAGATCCCAGGAACATTGCACCAAAAATTTCGTTCCAAGATAACATAATCATCATCATCATAATAGTGTCTATTATATAGTGTCTATTATATTCCAGATGCTCTGCTTTATCAAGCCCTTTACCAAGAGTATCTCATTCAATCCTCATAAACTCTCCCTCCCAGGTACATGCTATTGTTACCCTCATTTTACAGGTGACGAAACTAAGGCAAAGAGGTTTAGAGACTTATGTAAGATCACACAGTAAATATCTGAGATTTGAACTTAGGTCTTCCTTGACTTTATGGCTAGTTTTGTATCTGCTGCACCACTTAGCTGCCCTCAACTTATACCCACTGACATAAAGTAAAATAATAATTTATTCAACATAGGAGACAAGGTGTCAGATTTTGTCACCAGTTACAATAGTGTTAGTTGCCTTGAGGGTGAAGAATGGCTAAGTTCTCCTTATGTCCATCTTCCTATAAATACTCAGGTTAGAGTATTCTAGGTCCTAGAGGAGATTAAATGAAAAATGGTTTGTGGCTGCGTGTAGCTCACAGGATCCAGAGAGGAGACAGGAGACATGACATGCACATAACTGAAATATAAAATATTACATGAGACACAAGTTGCCTGAGAAGAGAATCCAAGGCTGTTATTTCCTGAGTTCCAAGTTTTTGTGTAAAGGAGAGGGGAATTTGACTTCCTTAGAGAGCATAATCCCATAATCAAACCTCCCAGCCTCTAAGGGAGATTTCTAGGATGGCACCCACTTTGGGAGATGCCATGTCATCAATGCCCAAGTTTCAGAGTTCCTGAGTTTGACAACTCCAGGCATTGGGTCTTCTAGAGCAGTTGTGTCAAACTTATGTAGAAATGGGCCACTCAGCAGTAAACAAGGACCTGTTCTTGCTGCACATTAACTTAAAGAAACCACATGAACATTATGTTCTTTTGTATTTTTATTTATTTTATTAAATATTTCCCAATTACAGTTTAATCTTGTTTGGGCAACACCGTTATGGTGTGTTTGATACCTCTGTTCTAAAGAGAGTTTTAATGCATCCTACTGTTGGTTGAAGGGGAAAAAATGTCCCCAGTGGTTTCCTGTGCAGCATCCTTCCCTATTTGGAGTGCAAAGTTGCACTCTAGAAGTCAGAAGAAGTGACGTCTACAGCCAGGCAGTGTGCAGCTCCTGTGAACCTTTCTAATGTTGACCTTATACGGCAGAATACTTGCCTTCCTGATGCCACCTGTAATTGGGGAAGAGTGTATTGAAGGAAAGATGACTTGGTCCTTTTCTTGCATGCTATTTTAGCAAATAGCTTTTGTTCCTTGACTGACAATTGAGAGGTAAACACATTGGTTGGGGCTTCTGAGCTATAGTTTTAGGCATTTAGGGTTATATAGAGTACCTGGAACCTGGGGCTACTGACCTCAAGTACACATTGGAAACACCTACAGATGCATTCCCTCCCCACTCTAAATCCGTGATGCTATGATACATCAATGGGAGATACACATCTGCTGTGGGTGCTTTCTGTTTTGTTCTCATCCTGGTCCTGTTCTGCCTTTCCTGCTGCATTCTGTGGTTGATCCATCCTGACCTGCTTACCGTTCTTCAGACACAACCTTCCACCTCCCCTCTATGCCTTTGCACTGACCATCCTCCTTACCTGGAACATTCTCCCTCCTGGCTTCTTGGACTCCTTTTAAACCTGGGCTCAGATGCTACCTTCTCGGGAACTTGGCTTCTGGTGCCTTTCTCTCCAAAATTACCTTCTGTAAACTCCCTGTTTATCTTGTGGCCACCCTTATATGTACACGTATTCTTTATTAAAATGTAAGCTCCTGGGGGCAGCTAGGTGGCACAGTGGATAGAGCACCAGCCCTGAAGTCAGGAGGACCTGAGTTCAAATCCAGCCTCAGACCAAACTTGACGCTTACTAGCTGTGTGACCCTGGGCAAGTCACTTAACCCCAATTGCCTAAAAGGGGGAAAAAAATGTAAGCTCCTTGAAAGGAAAGATTGTTTTTGTATTTTCTTTGTATCCCAAGGACTCAGCACAATGTTTGGCACATAGCAAGAGCTTAATAAATGCCTGCTGATTCATTCACTGATTGTTGCCCAACCGGAGAAGGATCATTGTTTGCTGGGGAGCTCAGGGAAGGAATCCAAAGAGGAGTTTACATTTGTGCTAGGCCCTGATGTTTTTTGGTGCTTTGTTTTTAAAGAGGACCAATGACATCACAGTTGACGCTTGACTTGTACATGAATTGGATTTAAATGAGGTGTTGTTTCACAAGATGCCAGCCTCACTCTGCGCCTGAGTCATCAGAGTCCAGTGGTGAGACTAGCGCCCAGATGACTGGCGACAGCTCTGAATGTGGCAGATTATCTTCACAGCGTTGATGTCTGACCAGCCTGTAAGAGCTCCATAATGCCAGCTTCAGCCTCTTTCATGGCCATTGGAACAAGTTGTTCTTGTTTACCCATTCCACCAGGGTAGAAATACTCCTAGCTCACCAAAATGTTTGAGGCCTATTACCCTCAACCTGGTTTAGCCCATCTGCCTAGATGGTTTCCTGGGTGTGGCCACAGTGAGTCCTACAGCTTCTTAGAGCCACAGGTGAGAGTTGGTGAATCAGGTGGACACCAAAGGTGGATAAGCAGCTCTAAGAAGGCTTGGACAGGCCCTCACCCCACACCTGTTAGTCCTCCCGAACACTCCCCATTCCCTACCATAAAGAATAGGGAAAGGGGGCAAACATTAAGCACTTACTATGTGCTTTACATATATTATCTCATTTGATCCTCACTGTAACATTGAGAGTTAAGTGATATTATTATCCTTGTCTTACAAGGGAGGAAATTAGGCAGGTAGAGGTGAAGTGATTTACTCAGGGTCACACAGCTAGTAAGGGTCTAAGTTAGGATTTTAACTCAGATCTTCCTCACCCAAGGACCAGCATTTTATCCACTGCATCACCTACTTGCCTCTAGCAGGATAAGTAGGATATTTGTGTAGAGATATCAATGGGAAGGGCATTAGAGATTTATGGAGCAATTTGAACAAAGTCACAGGGGCAGGGCAATATTAATATTTTTTTAGCAGAGATTATAACAAATTTGGCTGGAACATAGCACATGTTTAGACAAAGCATATGTACAGGAATGTACTGTGTACCATTGGTGGAGCTTTGAATTGGTCTAGCCATTCTGGAAAGGCATTTTGATTTATGCCTAAAAAGTTACTAAAATGTGTGTACCTTTTATCCGAGCTATACCACTATTAGGCAGGCCTATATCCCTGCTAGGCCTATACCCCAAAAAGATCAAAGAGAAAGAAAAAGGTTCTACACGTATACAAATATTTCTACCAGCTCTTTTCATGGTAGCCAACAAGTAGACACTGAGAGAATGTTCTCCTAGTGGGGAATGGCTAAACCAACTGGTGTGTGAATGTAATGGAATAATTGTGCCATGAGAAATGAGGAAATGGACAGTTTCAGAAGAACCTGGGAAGACTTCTTTGAACTGATACAGAATAATATGGGCCAAACAATTTATACAATGATAAACTATAGAGAAAAATATCTCTGACTTTAGAACTCTGATCGATGCAGTGATAAACCAAGAGTCCAAAAGAATATAGGTGAAACATGAGATTCACTTCTTGATAGAGAGGCATGAACTTAAATGGTAGGAAGAGACATACTATTTTTGACATGGCCAATGTGTGTGGGGTTTTTTTTCTGCACTATACAGTTATGTGTTGAGGGCTTTTTAAAGATTTTACAGTTTTCCCAGTTCTTGGTGTCTCCTCTGTGTATTTTTAGGGTACATGTATTACTTAACTATTAACATGTTGTCTAATCATAATAGGTGCTTAGTTGAGGGAGGGGAAATGGGAGGGATAATTTAATTTTAAAAGAAAAAAACAAAGAATATTTATGCTGTGATACACCACATGTATTTCAATATAATTTATTACTTTGCTCTGGTGTTGCTCTGAATTAAAACTCAGGCACTAAAACACATGGCCAAAGAGGAATGGTGAAAATGCATTGCTGCTAATTTTTTTTCAGTGCATTGTTTTATTGAGGTAAGATTGCTATTGATATTACTGTTTTGGGGAACAAATGGGGAAAATTTATTGAAAATAGTGTGTTAAGTGTGTGGGACTTAAAGTAGCTACCATTTTTATTTTTACTGTATTGCTAAATCACATATACTATGTAATAAAATAGAATTTAAGGAAGTAGAGGATTGCACTTGATAATTCTTCAGTTAGCCAGGACGATTACCTGCAACCAACACTCCTCCCCTCCTCCACCTCATACTCTGCTTCATCCAAACTTGGCTATTGGCTGCTCTATGACATTTCATTTCCTTTTTTTTTTAATGGCTTCACATAGACTGGGTGCCATACTTGGAATACTTGCGTCCTGATTTCTCCCTCTTGGAGCCCCTAGTTTCCTTCAAAACTCAAAATATGCTACCGCCTTCAACAAATATTTCACAATTTTTCCAGTTTTTGGTCTCCCCCCTCCTATCACTGTGTATTTTGGGTGTGTATGTATTACTTATCTGTTAATATGTTATATGATCATAGCGGGTACTTAATAAATGTTAATAGAATTGAAGTTGATTCAAGACAAGGAGTATCTTACTCTGTATTTGTATCCGAAGCACCTGACTCAGTGCAGGTCACATATTAGGTGCAAAGTGAATGAACATAACAAATCAACTGTGTAGATCTCATGTTCACATTCTGTGTCTCATCTCCTGGTAAGCATTTGACCACACTAGTTAAGCAGAAGAGTCGGCCAAAAGAGCTACCAAAACAAAGACCAGTGATTGGAATCTTTTTTAAGGCAGTGTTCAGATTAAAGAGAATTTCCTTTCATTTGCATAATGATTGCTAAGCTTCTGTTCTCGCTGTGGTTTTTCAAGTATCATGTAACACCAGGATATCTGCAGAATGAAAATTGATCTGCAACTTAGCAGAGAATGTGAAAAGTCTTGAAGAAAGTGTGTATGTCTCCAAGTTATTAGGTTGAATAGAATGTGCCTTCAAAGAATGGAAGATAGAATTTTGGAAAGAAATAAAAGATAAAAGGATGTAATGCAACCAAAGAGAATTCTTAGTGTGGAAGGTAGAAGCATATGACATAGAGTAGAAATATGACACAGCAGGAAAGAAAACCACATAATTAGAGCCATATAATGGGTATGAGGCTCTTCTTGAATAAGGACGAGTCTAGCCTTCTCTTATTCTCCATGGATTGACAACATGGATCCACATGCACCGTTATGTGGCAAGCCAGCTAGTAACAGCCAGAGAAAGCAGTTGTGTCTCGTGTCTCATTGTTGAGGGCACAGAGGAAGCTATCTGTGGACCCGATAGACCTTCGCTAGCATTTATTATTCACCTGCTCTATGTCAGGCACCGTGCTGCATTTGGGGGACGTAAATACAAATGTAAAACAGCCAGCTGTCTTCCTAAGGCATGTTTCTATGACATGGCAGAGAGGCTTTTGAGAACTGTCAGACTTGACCACTACCTACTTCTGGTGAATTATGTAATCATCTAAGGGAACCTAGAAAGGATTGATTAGGAATGTGAAGTCTTGGGCTGAAAAGCAAAGAAGCTACACACCTCAAATCCCGGAGAGTATAAGTGGTGATTTCATCTTACTGCTGATTGAAGGCAGCGGATTAATAAGAGGAAAGCAGTGTAGAAAATTAACATCTGGCTAAGAAGATGGTGTCTAAGAATGTGATCAAGATATCTTTATCTCTGGATAAATATATGGTTGATTAGCTCTTGGCTCTTAGCAAGAGATGGAATGTGCTCAATAATGACCTATAGAAATAGACTTGTTTTTAGTCTTCCCAAATTTAATAAAGAGACCTTAAAATAGGAAAGGTTGAGGAAAACAATTGTCCATCTGAAATTGTAGATCTGAAAAGCTTGGTATTATGATGAAGACCAGAAATAAAATAGGAATAAATATGGAAGAATAATAATAATGACTATAATAATATCATGTACATCTTTCTTAGTTTCTCTGAATTCCTTGTATTTTTCATTTCTTGTGGTATAACAATTTTCCTTTACATTTATAGAACACATTTTATTTAGACATTCTCTAACTGATAGACGTTCACTTTCCTTCCAATTGTTTACTATTTAAAACACTCTGCAATGAATATTTTGTTGTATACATTAGACCTTACCCTCTCTTTTTGACATTCTTGGGAGTCAATGTCTTGTAAAGATATTGTTGGGTCAAAGGATTTATATAGTTTCTTGACTTGTTAAAGCATAATTCCAAATCATTTTCCAGAATAATTGGTTAAACTAATTCATAGCTCCATTAACACTGCATTAGTGCGCCTGTCTTCCTACTACCTCCAACATCTCTTTGTAAGATAAGGAGACTGATGAAGATAATCTGGGGAGGATCCTTTTCTAAGAAGTTTTTAAGGAAATACTCCTTTGAGAGACTGGTACCTGACTTTCAAATTCAAGAATTCTTGATCTCTTGGGAATTCTAAAACTAAGAATTGTGAGGTAACCCTCAAGGTTGGAAATGTCTATTCTCAGGATCACCTTACTTGCACTTAAATAGGAAAGGGCCAAAATGTAGTAGCATAACAGGAGATCTCTCAGGCTTTCCTGGACAATCATGAATACATTTCCTGCTCATGGGGTAGTTAAAAGAGAGAATGTTCCTCATCCCTTTCCCTTACTGCACTCTGGTTTGGAAATCACACAGAGAGAAAATTCAAAAAAAGGGAAAGGGGAAGCCATGTCTGTTTCTGTCTCTGTCTCACACACACACACACACACACACACACACACACACAAA